TGTATGGTCGCCCGTCAGCCTCGGCACTGGTGTTCATTGACTGCTGATAGAAGCAGCAGGATGAAGAGTCTACAGGACTGCACTCTGCTCACATTCAGACTAATGCTGCAACACTGATGGGACAAAGCTTCACAGTGCAGATGAATAATGATCCAAAGCAAACTGCAAAGTAACCCAACAGTTTCCTGAGTTTCCCAAGAAGCCTGGCAGAGCGTCTTGATGTCTTGATCATACAGATATATGATTTTGCTGAACCAGAAAGACTGTCATTAGAACATTTTGTCACTGTTCAGTGATAAAAATAATTGAAACGAGACCCAGGAAGTGGTTACAGGAAGAGGGTGATAGATTGTCTGAAGCAGTCAGAACAAGAAAATACTACTGACAGAACCTCATACCACAGGCTATACCCAAGGAAAGATACACCAAGTCTGTATGGTTTACTAAAGATACATAAACAGGGTGTACCTTTAAGACTAATTGTCTTAACATCATAAAAATCTTTATTAATTATTTATTTTGTGTTTACTTGTGTTATCTTTGTCTAATATTTAAATGAGTTAAAAATAGGAAATCAGGAAAGGGACAAACACTTTTTCAAACAACTCTAGATAAACTCAATTATAGCACTTCATAACATCCATCTCTCTGTCCCACCTCTCAACAACAAACAGTACTTTGCTACTGAAAGACACTATTATTCAGCCAAACAACAAGTAACGTTACAGTATTTGGTATATATCACAGATTTACCCCTCACAAATGCAAGTATTTGTTTTTTTTGTTGTCTGTCTCCTCAGAAATCGCTGTGACCTGAACAGCAAAGATCTGAATCGTCAGTGGAGTAAACCAGACCCTCTTCTGAGTCCAACCATCTACCACACCAAAGGCTTTCTCTACTACCTCAACATTATAGGACGGACTCCAGTGGTGAGATACACATGCTGTTATGTAATGTTTTCTTTTTGAAATGTTAAGCTCTTTGGTTTTGTCTGTCCTGCATGTTTGACACACTTTCACACATTAGTTAATCTACATACATTACATCCAAAAATTATTCACAGCTTTATTAAAAATTCAAATCAAAAATGCGTTGTAAAATGTACCATACAAAAAGAAATGTGTATAAGTATTCGCAGCCTTTCAGTTCTTGTCTTGTAAATTCTGAATTTATCGTTTAAGTATTAGGTAGTGATGCCGTAGCAAGGCTTTGGAGCATGTGTTAAAAAAACAAAAAAAAAAACAGGAAATCTTATGAAGAGCTTATCAAAGCTTGCTTGTTTACTTCTTCTTTTTTATTTTGGTTTGATGTTGGTTTATGTGGATATTTTGTTTTTCATTTGGTTATGCTAACCCCAGACTTGGATTATTCCAAATACCTGGGCCAGTTACTTTTAGAGGGTTGTTGATAATAAAGACCACAAGTTGGAAACTCATTAATTCCACTCGGGTCTCTTTTTGTTTACACTTCAAGCTACCACAAGCAACAGACCTCACCTAAACATGAAGTCATGAAATTAAATTGCTTTAGAGCCTCTATATAAAAATGGCTGTAATATCTAAACAGTGAACACTTTAGTTGAACCCGTTAAATTAAAACCACAAGTCTGTACTTTAATCACACATTAATTGTTTGATTTAAAATGCACTGTTTGGTTTCAGAGGCAAAATTACAAATCAAAATATTTTATTGTCCAAATGCATAATCTCTTTCTTGCTTCATATTTACTAGGTTTTCTGTGACTACCATGGCCACTCTCGAAAAAAGAATGTGTTCCTGTATGGCTGCAGCATTAAGGAGACTCTCTGGCAGTCTGGCTCTGCAGTTGACACTGTAGGATTGAAAGAGGATCCTGGATACAGGGTAAGAAAAGCAGACACACAGAAACCCCTAAACCCCTAAGCAGGCCATAGGGGTTTCTGTTTTTGTTCTACTCGTTCACCAGCAGCACTATTTCAAATTCGGAAACCAGAGAAACCAGATAAAATGTTTTGTTCCTCTCTCTCTCTCTCTCTCTCTCTCTCTCTCTCTCTCTCTCTCTCT